GTCATCGTCTCCGTCATCGTCTCCGTCATCGTCTCCGTCATCGTCTCCATCATCGTCGCCTTCATCGTCTCCATCATCGTTTGCGTCATCGTTTGCGTCATCTTCAAAGTTGTCGTCGTCAAGTCCGTCATCTCCAAAGTTGCCGTCGTCAAGCCTGTCATCGTTGCCACCACCTCCTATTGCTGCATCTTCTTCAACCTGACTGACCGCGAAAGTCCATTGAGAGTTCGTGCAAGTCTGCATGAGTCCGTTGTGGACTCTGTGCCTGAAAAGAATTGTTATGTGAAGTGTCATTGCTCATTTGTTACTGTCATATGTACATTAATTTCATATACAAACGGTGTTCCAATGCGTACCTGTATCTTTGCCTTGTGCTGAGGTACTTGTCACCTCTGCATTTGCTGCACAGGCACCTTTTAATTGTAGACATCTCTGTAAATGTAAAATGTTTCAGTTTTTACTGTTATATGATTAAAGGCATACTACACAAAATAAATACATACAACACGCGAATAATTCATACCGAATAATACTTAATAATTCATAATTCACCGACCGCGAAATTAACCACTCGCGAAATTGTCCGTCAAGGCATGATAATTGGTCCATCAAATTGCAAGGCATGATATAACTTTTTGTTTACATGTGAAAGTCAGCATGAATTCTACGAAAGAAGAGAAACTTCTAACGAAGATCTGTCTGATGATACACGTATACATGTGAGAAATATGTTTGTGTATGCAGTATGCAAGAAATAAGAAGTACATATGGTAATATATAAATATTTTAATATATATAAATGATTGTACAACAAATATTGTGTTGATTCTATTCTGTTGATGTTTTACATCTCTCTCTGGAAAAAAAAAGAAAACAAATTGCATGATACATTACAAGTAATAGAAATCATTGCTCCTTTTTTTAGGGTAAATTTATTTAGATATATTGTATTAACTTATACCTCGTTCCTTTCTTTCAGTAGCTGCAGCAGTAAATCGATTTCATCTGCTGTAAGTAAAAATGCATGGCTAGTTTATGAAATGTTAAAACATTTACACTCTAGCATGAAAAATAGGTGTATTAAAACATGCTCAATGCAGTTTTAACAGTTTTAACAATAGTTTTAAGCATGAAGAAGCATTACTAACCTTGCATGCCATCAATGTTGACTTGCTGCTGTTGCAGTGGCTGTTGTTGTTGCAGTGGCTGCGGACGCTGCTGCTGTGGCTGCTGTGGCTGCAGTGGCTGTTGTTGTTGTTGCTGCTGTTGTTGCTGCTGCTGCTGTTGCAGTGGCTGCTTCGTACGCTGTGGCTGCGGACGCTGCTGCCTCTGCTGCTGTGGCTGCAGTGACTGTTGTTGTTGCTGCTGCTGCTGATACCCAGAGTGGAGAATGCGGCTTCACACAGCTCGCACTTATACGGTTTCTCTCCAGTGTGTGTTCTCATATGTATCTTCACAGTACTCAGATTGGAGAAGACAGTATCACACAGTTTGCACTCATATGGTTTTCCCCCGTAATTAATTCTCACGTATTCCATCCTGCTTCAGAGAAAGCTGCCACGTTCTGGTCACAGACGTCAAGTATCTACCTTGTCCGGTGCTCAAGTTACGTCCTCGTATTTTGCTTCGGAGACGGCCTCGTCACACTAACACTCGTAGAATTAACGTCCTATCTAGGTTCTCCTCAAAATTGCTAAAGAAAAATACAAATAACTCTGTATTGAAAGCCGCATTACAGGGGTAGAAATTAACTTTTGAACGCGGGAGTCCAACGTACTCCCTACCCTCAAAAAGAGGGAGTCCGCAGTCTGGGGTTCAAAATTAAAGATATTAACAATAACGCATGTGTTTGCCGCTGCCGCCACCGCTACCAGAATTGTCACCATCACCGGACCACCACCACCACCGTCGCCGCTACCGCCGCCGCCGCCGCTGCCGCTGCCGCCACCGCTACCAGAATTGTCACCATCACCGGACCACCACCACCACCGTCGCCGCCGCCACATTCCCTGCAGCTGCTCCCAATACCAGCATTGCTACCCCGGCGATGGCTTCACGCATCAGCGTCGCTGGTAGAGCATGCGGCAGCGCGGAGCTATGTGAATGAGACGGTACAGAGCGGATAGCTACTCACGGTAATGGAGAGAGCGTGCACGGTCGCTGCTAGCTCCTCCTTCACGATCTCATTCACCAGCCGATGACGCTGAAACACACGAAACATGCCAGGTAACGTTATTCATTCGATACCGGGAAGAATTATTATTATTATTATTGTTAAATCTTTATTGCATGTAATTCAGATACAAATACACGTACTGACAACAGTTTTTTTTCATCGAGAAAAAATCTGATAAATGCAATAGTGTTGAGTAGTTAAGAAAATAAGGGGGAGAGATAGTGAGGGAGAGAGAGAGAGATGGGACAGAGAAAAGGGAGAGGGAGAGAGAAAGGGGGCAGAGATAACAGAAACATGAAATAAAATGTAATTTTGAAAGGCATCAGTAACCTATGCAATGTTTGTGCCAATGTTAATAAATTTTTCTTGCATGAAAACAATCTAATTACCCATGCTTCAGGAAATCTTCCCAAGGCCTGCTCCTGCAAGCGCACTCTCCTGCTATCATCAGGTTGGCGCTTCAGGAGCAGGTTCATGATGCGGGCGAGAATGTTGATGATCGTGTGCACCGCATCGATGACTGGACTGCAAACTACGTCGAAGCCTGGAGCGCGTTGGAGGTGTGTCACTCCTTTTATCCCGCTACCTCGCGTTATCCGCCTCATCTCGTCTCGGTTGCCTGTTCGTAAAAAGGATTATTTCAATATATCACCAACCAGCAAACTCATTAAAAGCAAAGCTCTTTCTCAACCAAAATGTTTCATTATTTACAAAGTTTACGTGAAAGTTTTTAGTTCGAGATTTTTACTCAAAAACGCACAATTAAAAAAATGTGTTTCAGATATATGTGGTTACATTTCATAATTGAAATACTTTCAAAATATGAATGCTTGAGTATAGTATGTAAAGGGCTAATACCAATGTGTTGTGCTGCCATGTATTCTGCAGCTGCAATCCTTTGGCCAGCATCTGTTTTGTTTTCTGGTGGTGGCAGTAGTTCAGCGTTTGCTGTCGAAATATTCCCAGCCAGAAAAAGGCCTCTGTTGGCATGTCTCAGGGGGCTCTCAGCTGGTAGGAACCTATTTAAAAGTTTATGAAACTATATGAATGAATGGTAAAAATTTTATTTAGTACATCATCGATACGTGTATCGAAAAGATTTGTATTGCGATATGTTGATAAATCGTCCTACCTTTAACATTGACTGATGGTGACTCACCTCCTGTTATCGGCATGAATTACTTTCCTGAGACCAGGAAAGTAATTTCCATCAATGTTGCATTTCATGCAGCTGCTGTAGCTGGCTGCTCCAGTCAGTTGCATCGCAAGAGAATGCCCTTCATAGTCGGCTCCAGTGAAGAGCAGCTTGACGTTAACGAGGTGGTGGTGTCCATTTGCATCCGTAATGTCTATGTCGTGTACAAGTTCGTCTATTAATGGTTGAAGGTACGTTGAAAGGTTTTGGGGTCTTTTTGGGCCGGGAATTATGCCGTAAAGGAACTTGTTTTCAAATTTGTTTCTAATGGGGGCCGGAAGGTTTAAGAATTTAATAGTGATTGGCCAGATAGAGTAATTTTTTGTTCTTTCAAAAGGGGAGAAGCCATCAAATTCAATGCTAATTATTATGTCGTAAGGGTCAGTGAATAATGTTTGCCATGTGTGTGTTTGATGAATGTCATATATTCTTGTACCTGGAATGTAGTGTGTGTGTCTGTGTAGTGTCATAAGTGAGTCAAAGTTGAAGTATTTGAATTGTGATTTTATAAATTTTGTCAGATGTGAATATGTAAATATTTTTCGTGGCTGTCCATTGTGTGTGTATCGTGCTGCAGTGCATTGTGGGCAAGTGTCAAGATGTTCATATTGATGCGTGAATAGTATACAGTCGTTTATGCATGCATGTATGTCTGTCATGTTTCCAGCAATGTTGTTTATCATGTGTTTTAGTTGTTTGAATGTGTGTGGTAGCAAATTTGGTTGGGGCAGAATGGCTTTCATGATGCGGAGAAGTTGTTCCATTGACTTTTTTGCGATTTTTCCTGATGTAATATAAAACCCTGCAAGCAGAGCAATTGTTTGCAGAATAGTTACTACTGCTGCAGGGTATAGGGGTCTGTTGTAATTTCCATCGTAGTCATCGTCTCCGTCATCGTCTCCGTCATCGTCTCCATCATCGTCGCCTTCATCGTCTCCGTCATCGTCTCCGTCATCGTCTCCGTCATCGTCTCCATCATCGTCGCCTTCATCGTCTCCGTCATCGTCTCCGTCATCGTCTCCGTCATCGTCTCCGTCATCGTCTCCATCATCGTCTCCGTCATCGTCTCCGTCATCGTCTCCGTCATCGTCTCCATCATCGTCGCCTTCATCGTCTCCATCATCGTTTGCGTCATCGT